GCTTATGCACAATGGACTTTCGAAATTATTTTGTTTAAATGAGGAATTCTGTACAATTAATCGACAGCCAGTACGTAGTCGACAAAATCACAGCGAATTCAATCGAAAATAAAATCAAAAGCAGCATGTATACCGCGCATATTCCATGGCATCTCGTCGAAAGGCCATAATTTTGCCTATCGAACCTTGATAAAAAGCGTGAGGATGGGCGCGGGAGACGAGGGGAAAGGGACAGGATGTAGGTATTAGCCGGATGTCATGGAATTGTTGGGGATCACGTGCGCGTGCAAGCGCGCGATCGCAGGACGCTCTGTAAAATATCGCTGTAAATTGGAACTGGCACACAATGAGGCACGGTTTAACAATGCGTTTGATTTGAATCGAAACGTCATGAAAATAATCACATCGCTAGCGGGACCACTCGAATTAATGGTCGGTATCCCCGGCACGTCCCCGGCGCATCTCTCCGCCTCCTTGTTACCTTCGTCCTCGTCACCGCTGTTCGCGCACCCGACACAAGAGCGAAAGCCTTAGCGGCGACGACGGCGACGACGGCTACGACGAGGACGAATTTATCGGAAGTACTCGCGCAGAATACGTAGAAGCGTCGTCGTGGCCGCGCATGCCTCGGCTGCTTTGTTCTGTGAAGGCAAACACCAAGAAGATGAAGCGTTCATCACCGGGACGATTTATTTTGCGCGCCGTCGCGGAAAATGACTGGAGTGCACGTTCCGATCCTTTCATTCTTTCGGATTTCGCGCGAGTCATCGGAACGGAACATATTCGAGCACTTCCGGTATGTGTGCGCGCCGTATTCTCTCTATTCATCGCAAGCTGGGCTTTCATAATGTCACACTCGGAAATTATTGGATCTTTACCACCAATTCGAAATTAAACATCGGGAAACTAAATGCATTTGCGAAATGAATATTTCTGATATCTTTACAATATTAATATTACCGTAAAACTTATTGACTCGTGTGTGTTTGTCCAAATTAATTATATTATTATATTATTGAAAGAAAAGAATACATTTTATAATTTATTTATTTATTCAATTTTTAGTTAATTTACGAAAAAATTTATAAATTTCGAAATCCCTTATAAAAATTTATCATCGTTTTTAGACCTCATATGGACCGTTTTTAGCCCGTTTTTAGTCCGTTCTTGCTCGTTTCTTGCACTCGCAAGCACTCGCAGTGTATCATGAAGGAACAATAGTGAGTATACACGAGTACGCAATGAGTATTTTTGAGAAGATTGTCTGTTTTCAATACTCGTTTTTCCGCTGATGAACGACAAACGTATATACGAGTATTTTTGAGTGAATCGTCCGTTTTCAGTACTCGTTTTTCCGCTACGTGTATTTTTGAGTGGATTGTCCGTTTTCAGCATGAGTGAGAACACGTTAATACGACGTTTCTCTTTTACTCGTACATTTACTTATCATTTATTAATTACCATAAGAATTATTATTGTATGAATTTTATTTTTATTTTGAGAATTAATTTACCAATGGTTATATATAACTGTAATATATTCTCGCGCGCGCGCGTTTGTGTGTGTGTGTGCGTGCGTGTGCGGGCGTGTGTGTGCATACACATCAGAGTTCTAGTTTAATCTATCACGTCCCTTAATTATTTTTGGGATTAGGATAATCACATTGAATATAAAATATATTCAGAAAAAAGTTGTTTAATTTGAAATGATCTTGCTAATCTGCATGCAAAAGTATTAAGATAGACTTGTCAAAATACTAATAGTTTATGAGATATATTACACTTTATTCAGATATACCATAAATGTTCCATGAACTATTTTTAACAGTTGTACTTTAATATTTTTATGCACAGAATAATGAATTAAATCAATCATTGGTTAATCATTCAAAATCAAAATATGTAAAATATTAATGGCTAATGTCTTTTTGAGGTGTGTGTGTGTGTGTTTATATATATATCTGGATATATATAACATTACATATATGTATATAACTCATACACAATGTATTAAATATAATTACATTGTTAGAAATGTTCTTAAATTTCATTACATTTTAAGTTACACAATTTGAAATTAATTTCATGACATTACATCAAATTTAATGTATTTTTCATGAAAATTTATGAAACTTAATGTACGTTCATTACATTTAAGTAACTACTGTAACTTAATTTTCAGTTAAATCATTCATTACTTTTAATTTCGTTCATAACCACAAGCTTCATTTACATGTAAAGGAAGCTCATGGTTACATTTCTAATAGTGTACTATATAATAATTATAATCTTTCATATGAGAAGTACATAAGTAAGCGAATATCGACATAGGAGTTGTGTAGCTCAGTGGAAAAGTGGCAGCCTCGTAGAGCAGACTTGGAGATCAGGCCTCGATTTGAATCTCGACAGGAGCGGAGTGATTTTCTCGTGCTATCGGTTATGCCTTACGACGAGTAATTTCGAGTGGTGAAAACGTGCAATGCAATGTGAGTGACGAGTATGTCATATACTAAATGAGTATTTTACACTTATATACGTTTTTTCACTCAAATTTACGTTTTTACCACTCAAAAATACTCGTATTGTATACGTTTTTACCACTCAGATATACTCGTGTCCTGTATGAGTGCAATCAAGTTTTAACCACTCATTTTTATGGAAAAGTTCCTGTTTGCGACCTAAAAACGGAGTCATACTCACTGAGTAAAATGCACGTTTTCACCACTCAAATTAACCGTTCGCACGGGCTAAAAACGGGCTAAAAACGGTGAAAAATTTTTATAAGGGGTATTATAAAAATGCTGTATAAAAGGAAGAGAGTAATGGAAGTATTGGAAGCATGTTCTTTTGTAAATAAGAAATAATAAATTCAATAAAAAATATATTACTAAATATATTTCACTATATCTAAATTTATAAATATATCTTATAAATAAAAATGTGTGACTATAATAATAAATTAAAATAATAAAATTTATCATTCTAAATAATTATTTTGGGAGATTATTAAATACGATGTAGAAATAAAATAGAATTAATTTTTAATTATACATACATTTCGTACATTTCTGCCGTTCAATCATACATATCATAAATATAGTAACAAGTATTGAATTTATATATTAATACGAGAGCCGTATTAACCGGACCGTAATCATTATTTTCCAAGTAAATATAATGATCGCATTTTATACGAATTTGAAATAACGCGACAAATTACTCTTAGAGAAAAGTTGGTTTTAAATTATGTGAGTTTTGAATTATACAAGATCTTTAAGAAAACACATCTCTCGTATAAAATGCGAACGTATATCATTATGTAACTACATACTGAGCATCTCAATTTTATCATTTCTTCTTTTAATAATAGATTCTTTGAAAAATTTGCAGCACTTTCATAGCAATACGAAAGTTAATAGAGAGCCATCGTTAATTTTAACTTTTTAATTTTCCATGTTAAATATCTTGAAAATTAATCTTCAAATTAAACTTCTTGGCAATTAACACGTAAACGAATTTTTTTCGTCCATTTATGCTCTGAAAACTTAAAGCTTAAAACCTTTCCACTTTTAGTGTTGAATGTGTCCTTAATAGGCCATCCATCAAATTGCCGCCGGGGAAAATTTGGTTTTGAATCTTTTAAAAGAAATTAAGTCTAATGTTTACAATAATGATGATAACAGTAAGAATAGTAATGTATCGTGATTATGCAAAATTAATAGTAAAAGAAGTCTGTTACCATTGCAAACATATTTACACCTGTCGTACATAAAGTATAAATATATTTCTAGTTTTTAAAATAATCAAATTTTTGTAAATAACGTTCCTATTTCTAGATATCATTGATATATTTGTAGATTTCTGATATAAGTCTTACATAATCTTTCTTGTTACCTATAGTGTTGCATGTAGTATTGCAAAGGAAATGCAACATTATTAAACAATGGCGATCAATTCAACGACAGAGAATTCCGTAATCAAAAGATCTGCATACATTAACACGCTTCGGACTGAAGGTACTAAGACGATTAGGAGTTTAAGGATTAAAAGGATTAAGAGCTTGATGTCAGATGATATTTTGAAACGGCAATGCCTTGTATCCTCAGTTAAATGCGATTTCAGAATGTATTAGTTTGTTAAAACATTATGTTCCCATGGAACGGAATAATCTTTTAATATCTCACTTAAATATATGAGTGTAAATAAATTTTTTTGAAAGACAAAATAGAAATTAAATTACATTTCAAAAAGCTTTATTTACACTCATATATTCTAAATCATCTATTTAGTGATCTGATCAGTCTAATCTTGGGTGGCGTCACCAAGGTCAGAGCAATGTCACTTTGAATTTTTTAAATGGAACCCTCTATTTTTCATTGCATATTCTTGTAGCATACCTCGGGAACTCTCTTTCCAAAATAAATACTATAATAAAATAATTTTTTATGAAGTACTTTTCGAGTTATAAGGCTTGAAAATTACAGTACCGCCGGCATTAGCATTACGCAAGGTGTTCGACCGATGGCTAAAACCTCTTAAATGTCGTTTAGGATCATGTTCTAGATAACATTTGTTAAGATCAAGATCACTGGAGATTGTTTCTCATATTTTCATTTTTACATAAAAATGAATTTTTAGTGCAAAAATGAAAATAAGAGAAACAATCACCAGACCTTGATCTTAATAAATGTTATCAGGACATGATCCTGAACAACATTCAAGAGATTTTAGCCATCGGTCGGACACCTTGTGTAATGCTAATGCCCCGGCGGTATTGTAACTTTTAAGCCTTATAACTCGAAAAGTACTTCATGAAAAATTATTTTATTATAGTGTTTTGGAAAGCTCTCGAGGTGTGCTACAAGAATACGTAATGAAAAATATCCATTTAAAAAATTTAATGTGACATTGCTCTGACCTTGGTGGCGCCATTCAAGGTCAGACTGATCAGATCATTTTCAGTTCGATGGAACTATATATAAACAGAATTTCGGCACTCCCATGGGCTCGCCATTATCACCCATCGTGGCAGATTTGGTCATGCAAAAATTAGAGAAAGTGGCTTTATCAAGTTACAACAACGAAGTTTTATTGTACTATCGATATGTTGACGATCTACTTGCGGCAGTTCCGAAAGACAAGATCAACGATTTTCATAATAGTTTTAATACATTCCATCCTAGACTGCAGTTCACATTGGAAGTGGGTGATGACTCTATTAATTTTCTTGATGTGACGATAATGGTTAATGTAGACCGGTTCTCGTTTAATTGGTACCGGAAGCCAACTTTCTCAGGGAGATTCTTAAATTATCTTTCGAACCATCCAGAATCTCAAAAAAGAGGTATTATCTTCAATTTAGTTGATAGAGCCATATTCTTATCTGATTCGTCTTTCCACCATGAAAACATAGAACTAATTATTGATATTCTCATTAATAATGACTTCCCTCTGAAGTGTATTTTTGATGCTATTAATGAGAGATTACGTCACATTAAACATAGATCTAGAGTATCACATGACCAAAGTGACCTCAATGACAAGAGTGCAGCAATGACTTCTTGGTTTTCTGTGCCGTTTATCAAAAATATTACTGACAAATTCATGAAATTGAATAGAGACGACTTAAAAGTTTCGTTTTTTAGTTCGAACAAGATCAGTAAATTTGTTGGTGTACATAAGGACAGAATACCAGAGGAAGTTAAAAATGACGTTGTATACAAAATTAACTGTAACGATTGTAATGCAACCTATGTTGGACAAACGAGCAGACAATTAAAAACTAGAATATATGAACATCGTAACCACATTAAATGGAATACGTCTGCTCGTTCAGTGATTACCGACCATAGGTTGCAATATGCACATGACTTCGACTGGAATAATGTCAAAGTTCTTGATGTAGAGTCTTGTTACACAAAGCGCTTAATTTCCGAAATGCTTTATATTAAGAAACAGGAGAATGGCATTAATTTACAAACAGACACGGTTGGCCTTCACAAAGAATATGTAAATATTATAAATAAATTGTAACGTATTGGTACTGGCGGAAATTGTTTCCATCGAATAGCGGTCAGAAACACAGAAACGGCCGTACTGTGAACATGGCTCTGCTGAGAACAATTAAAAATTTTTCTGATCCAGACGGTTTCTATTAATATTACCGATTTGTCATACATTTTGACTCTTTGGTATTAGTTTTTTAATGTTATTGTTCTTGTAATTTTGACGACGGAACGTGGAAACCGCTTATATTTCTTGGTCACAATCTGCTATTCCATACGATTTGGTGAGAACTTTTAAAACTTTCTTGTCCTTTGTTATTAACGTCATTCTGAGCTTCAAATTTAACACGTTATAGAAACACATAACGAGCAAGAGTTACTGAAAAAAACAAATTTTTGTATTTACATGAAGCATGATTTTATGGATTTTTTGTCATTAACTTTATATTTTTCTTCTGTTTTTTCACGTACAATTTAATACTATCATTCTTACTAGACGTATAATAAGATATTAGCTAATTACTTTCACGCTTTGTTAACGATCATTGTTCTGCGTCATGTCGTAATATTAAAAAAGACTACGATAATTCTCATCATCGCTGGATTACTGATTTTTTCTTTGTTTTTAATCTGTTAACATTTAGATTCATTTCAAACGCAAATGACCAATCAGTCGTTTTGACTTTTGAATATGTATTCACGGAGGAACTGCATGAGGCTTTGGAATGAAGATAAACGTTCTTAACAGCTTTCTATAGTTTAGTTATTTTAGTTATGATCTCTATTTTATAGTATGTGTGTTGTACCAGAGGTAATAATTTATTTTATATTGTATCTGAAGATGGTTCAAATGTAGAACCGAAACATGTTATACTTATAATTAGAATTACACAATTTATATTTCAAACGAACTTCTTTACTGGATAATTATAAACTTGAATGTGTTAATCACTTCTTAGTTAATTGATGATTACATACGACTCTTATTTGCCTTGTTTCCAATTATTACATTTTGAATTTTAAGAGTCCTTTACTTATAAATACTGATCAGATCACTAAATAGATCATTTAAAACTTCACAACTTTTGTATAAAACGTTTTTTTTTTAAAATGCTCTGTTTCCGAAATAAAAGGGATGTACGAGTGGTCTGAGACACTCTGCACAAGTATGCTATAATATTTTAAATATGTATTTTTAAATAATTTTTAGAATAATTACGTTATATATTTTAGATATCTATATATCAATTATAAAAATAATATTTCCCAATTCAATAATGAATTAATAATTGTGATTTTCGCAAGTAGTTAAGCAAAGCAAAGTAATAATATTTTACTCATTATTTTATGAAATGATTTAATATTTATTTTCTCTCATGGAATTTGTGTTACAAGTAAAATAGTAGTTATCTCTACTATTTTATTATTATTATTATTATTATTACAATATAATTTGATTTATTTATATATAACTTAAAATTTATTTTAAAAATTTTGAAAATTATTTAGCAAAAGAGATTTAATTACATCAATTTTTATTCAAAATGCCTTCTGTTTAAACAGTTTAATAATTAAAGTAGTAAAGGAACAATAGATAGCAATTAAGGAAATTAATACAAACTTATCTCTGAATTACAAAATTTGACAAATTTCATTTTCAATTTCAATATTTTATTTATAACTCGGATTTATATAATTTTCAATGTTTTTGTCACAAATTTCATTATGTTACCTTTTTAAGGAATATTCATCTCACAAAGGAATTTTTTAGCTGTAGCTAAGACGCACAGCGCATACCACTTTCGGCAGCAGTTTGTGTGTTATCTAACAAGAAAATTAATTCTGACACTCCTGCAATCTCTGGCGCGCGTTCGCCGAATTATCCGGGATCGGAGCAAGGCTCGTGAATTATTTAAAAAGTCGATAACATTGAAAGAGGGGCAGCAGGTTTCGCATTCGGGACGAAACTCGCGTGTTTTTCCCTTGGCGCGGGCCTACGCAAACGTTTCGTGCCAGTCAGAAAATGCATTGACACGCCTGCATGTTGCAACAAAAAGAGAATGATACAAGATTTTTTTAAATATTAGATAATCCGCACTATTTCGTCAGCTATCAATCCCCCCCCCTCTCTCTCTCTCTCTCTCTCTCTCTATCGCTTTCCATCTTTCTCAACCGCCTAGTTTTTATTGGCAACGGGCCATGAATATAAAATTACCCCGATGGGGTACATTTAGCTCTTTGCCAGTCTCCGCTAATTTACCTCATGACGAAGTTCCATTTTCGCCAAGCACTCCCGATGCGCGCGTGTTCGTTCCGATTGTCTCACCGCACCCTTTAGATAGTCTCTTACTAAATTTTAGACATTCCGTTGGGGAATAAATTTTCAAGCTGCGAAACGCGAGAAATAATACTTCTAGATCAATAACGTTTACGAAACTGATTCGAGAGAAAAAACTGTCAAAATTTTAAAATTATGGATAAACAATAATCTCTTCCAAAAAATAAAGGTTATAAGTAATTCTTTATTAATAAAACATGCGTCATTTTAACAAATTTTTTCGTTACCTACATGAATATTCATACATATTAAAATAATATAGAATTCCTTTACGAAAACGTTTTTTTTTATATAATTGGAGTAGTATATTAGACCCCTTATAAAAATTTTTCACCGTTTTTAGCCCGTTTTTAGCCCGTTTTTAGCCCGTTCTTGTTCGTTTCTTGCACTCGCAAGCACTCGCAGTGTATCATGAAGGAACGATAGTGAGTATACACGAGTATGCTCATCATGAAGGAACGATAGTGAGTATACACGAGTATAATGAGTATTTTTGAGGAGATTGTCCGTTTTCAATACTCGTTTTTCCGCTGATGAACGAGAAACGTATACGCGAGTATTTTTGAGTGAATCGTCCGTTTTCAGCTGATGAGTGAGAACACGTTAATACCACGTTTCTCTTTTACTCGTACATTTTTACTTATCATTTATTAATTACTATATCGTACGATTTCAAATAAATTAAAATAGAAATTATATAATAATTCATTATTTATTATTGTATATATCAGGAGACGCGGTAGTGTCTCCGGCCATGTTAAAAAAAAGTGTATATATTATTC